AAAAAAAAAAAAAAAAAAAGAAGGATTAAGAAGAAAAAAAACTAAAATAAAGATGGAGATTTTTTATAGTAACATAACCCACTTAAGGTTTTAATTTTGTGTCGCTTGTTACATCTAAGGAGCTAGCTTGTAGTATTTCTACTATTACTCCATTTTTAAGCTTTTGTTTCCTTATGAAGGCACCGACACAAGCAGAGTTCAAAATTTAGGATTTAGTCGGTGCTAGAAAATTTGTTACTGATATTTAATTTGATTGAAGTTATTGTTTATTTTCTTTAAATTAACCACAAATAATTCAAATTGTAATTTTTTATTATTCTGGAAAAAAATCTAAATTAGTTAAGTATATAGTTACCTTACTTAAAATTGGATAACTTATAATCGTGATATCATGTAATTTGATTGGTTTTTGTGCGACAAGTTTGGATAGGGGTGAAAAGCTGATGGTGTTGTGTTCAAGAAACTTCTTTTTATGGCAGAAGGGAGTGGCGAAAAACAGCGCGGTGTGTCTATATCTGCTTTGGGCTACTTCATGCGTCACGTTTGAGCCCGGGCCAAAGTTCTTGTACCGAAACCTATGTTTTGGTCAAGTAGCACTAGGAAGTTACTGCAAAATTTTAGGTACTCTTTTGGTTTAGTGATTTGTTCAAATTATATTATGCAATGATCATGGAACTGTTATCCATGGGTCAGAATGTGTTGGATAAATAATATTCCAAGCTACCAACACAATTCTGTAATGAAGTGGCATTGCAATTACAAAATAATCCATAATTATTTGGTGGGTTTGTGGTACCATCTGTTTGGCTGATGCAACGTATACTCAGAGAGAGCTTTCGGCACGTAAACCTTTAATGACATTTGCTGCTGTCAGCAGATGTCTTTAAAGGTTTACGTGGTGGAATGTCAAACTTTGAAACACTAAGCATACTAATAAAAGCAATGTTAACGGTGCTCGGTGGAATGAAATTCGGAATACATAATATTGTTTGTTTCTTTTTCTTGCATGGGACTGTAATGCAGGGAGTTAGTGTGGGCACAATTAGGACAAAGGCGAATATGTGCTGTGTTCATTTCCCCACGGGCTCGGGTTGAACTTTAGCATTTTGTTCGGCTGATCATAGGTTATATTACTACGATCTTCGCAACTCAAAAGTTCCTCTGTATTTTTGTGGGGCATAACAAGACTGAGCTATGTGGAGTTTATTCACTCGATAACTGTTGTGTCTATCTGACCGATAACACGATGAAGCTGTGGGATCTGTCTATATGTACATCTCCTTGATTGTTATGTTCAGTCGTACAGGGGCCATCTCAATTTGAATGTAATCTTGTTACCTTCATCTTATGTGTCAAATGACATTTTAGAGTAACTCTGTTTATTATGATACGAGTTGAATTTATGTTGCTCCGGTCAAGTCGTGGTTGGCTTTTTGGTAGATTTTGTTTGGTATGTGCATCTTCCTCTTCTTTGTTGAATGAAATTACCTTATGATCCAATTCCAAGGCACGATACTTGGCAGAGGATACATAGATAAGCAGCTGAGTTTGCAAATTCTGTGGAGTAGTATACTTCAAGTGGGAATCAATTTTGCGCTCGCTTTTAGTGACTAAAAACGTTGCGACTAGGTTTTGTATTTAGACTAAACCCTTGCAAATTCTAAGGCACGATATTTTGCGTGTTGTATGGGGTGAAGTGGAAGTCGAGAGAAAAGTAGAAGGGGGTGTGTTATTAATCTCTTTTCTTCTTGTTCATATTTTTTTATGCGTACATGATTGTCAAGCTAACAGTGCATGTCTACGAGCAACAGTTTAATACAGTTTTTTTT